GCAGACGTGACAATGGTGGGAAAGTTTGGTATGAAAGGTTCTTTACCAGTGTTTGCTGGGAAGCTGAGAAGGGGATATGTGGGGGAAAAGCTCTGTAGGACACACCCCATCACCTGGTTCTTCTGCTTCTGCAATACCTCAAAATTGTACTGTTTCATGACTAATTCAGTCAGAATTCCAAGCCCCTCTCTCTCTCTCTCTCTCTCTCTCTCTCTCTCTCTCTCTCTCTCTCATCACCATATGGTTCAAGTTCACTTTGAATTTTTGACATTCCTGCCTCAGTTGCCCCAGTGCTGGGATGACAACTTGTGCCACCGTGTCTGGCTAATCTGAAGAATGTCCTCACAGACGCGCTCACTGAAGCAGTTTACCAATCTCCTAGGCATCTCTCTGTCCAGTCAAGCAGATGATCAAGAGTGACCATCACGGTCATGTAAGAAGAGACTGGAGATTGTATAACGGCTTGCATCTGCCCCTTGAATGTGTCCTGCTGTTTGCAATGACATCACAACCATCCGAAGCCCTCAATACCACTTAGAAGTATTAAGTCAGAGCGGTCACGGAGGCCCATTTTCTTCTCACACCACCCCACGGCAGGAAAGAGGTACTGTTATCATAGCAACTTTACAGATGAGGCCAAGCTCAGAGTCCTAGTCCAGGGAGGCATAGAAATACACTGATCCCCAGAATCCTCAACCTCCCCTTGTTTCTTCAGATCTAAGTCTTTCCTTATTAGAGAGCTTCTGAGCTAGAGGGGCTGCTCATCTGGTGGAATTTAACTGCACCCCATTCTGTCACCAAGTCAGCAGCAAGATCTCACACATCTTGGTGACTAGGGTCTCGTGTGGTTGGCATAGTCTGGGATGAGAGTAACTTTCCTTGGCAGGACAGGAGAGACTTGTAGAAGAATAGAAAAGGCCCTGGGAAGGTGTGGAACCTAACATAAGTTCTGAAGGCACCAAGATGCAAGTAACAGCAATAGTAATAGTAATAGTAATAATAATAATGATGAAGATGATGATGATAAAGATAAAACGAGAGGTAGAAGGAAAAGAAGGTTCTCTGGCGTCAAGATTTGCTTTATTAATGTGTGAACAAAGAATTGAGTTTTCCTGGTTGTTCACCAACACTTAAGATTAAAAAGGAAAAAAAAGCCAGGGTGCTAGAGCGAGATGCTGAAGTTAAGAGCACTTGCTGCTCTTACAGAGGATGGAGGTTTAGTTCTCAGTGAGTTTAGTTACAGGGGCCTGTAACGCTAGCTCCATGGGATCTGAAACCTTGCTCTGGCCTCTTTGAGCATGTTCACACTCACATACATGACCCACAGACGCAGATGCACACATGCATAGAATTTTAGAAGGGTAAGTCTTTGGAAAAGGATAGAAAAATCTAGCGAGTGTGTGGTACTCTTTTTTTGGTAAATGTAAGTGGAAATTTTCTTCTTGGATGTCACTAGAGCAGCTGCAGGCCTCTGGATGCTGAGCCATCTAAAGAACGTCTGCAAACACAGCAGGCTGAGGAAGTTGAAGAGTTCACTTAACACAAACTTGAACCACCTTTTCTTTCTGTGCTTCCATAATTTCAAGGTTTGTTTGGCATCCTTCCGAACTATGCCATCAGATCAGCCAAATCACATGACTCTAGCGTGATGAGGGATTGCTTGGAAGACAAGCTCACAGGAGAGAGAGAGTGCGGCTTTAAAACCAAGTCAGAAAAAGAACTTCTAGAGTGAAAACCAGTGTGCAGGAGACCGTGTGTGGCAAGATGCCTTCAAACATGAATTCTGCGTGAAGCCAGGCGGTGAGTCCCGTCCACTATCTCGGGTGCATTATCTTGGTGGTATTTGGAGTTGAGGGAAAACATACACAAACAACTTTTCCCCCACCTCTCCTTGCTCCTGACAGAACACGAGATGCCCAGCTTCTCTGGCCCAGGAGATCTGGGATTAAAGCCACAAATTTGGGTAGAAGCCATCTGAGTTTAGTCTGATTTTTTTTCATGCAGACCAATGATCCCTAAAAGACACTTTGAATTCTGTCACCATAGCAACTGGGATTGATTGATACCAGAAGTTTTCTTATGAACAGGGGGCTTAGAATTCAGGCTCTTCTCTCACACTGTGTGGAGAGGGCCGTGTGTCACCAGCCAGCCCTTGGCAGAAGCTTTCCCTGCAGGGGCTGTAGACACAGTGCCTTGGTCCAGTGTGATCTGCCACAGTTCTCCCACTCGATCAACACCCTGGCCCCGTTACAAGAGTCCATATATCGGCTTCTGGGGACAGGTGCACTCCTAGAGAGTGGAATCATGTTCGCTGGGAGAACAGAAGACTGGCGATTTTAGAATTTGTATTTTTGTGGGGAAAAAGTGTTTTAAAATTTCCTGTGTTAATAACTTCATGGAAGTTTGGTATCAAACAGACTGCCGCCATTGTGAGGTGGAGACAGCAGATGGTGTGGTCCTGCACACCCTCCTCAGCCGCCACCCGTCAAGCCTCTGCCTTTGGCTTTCTGTTGGAGCCACGGCTCTGGGGGGATGTTCCTTGCTCAGGATGATCTGTCCTCCACCCCTGTAAGTCCTTGTTAATCGGTGCCTGGGTCCTTCTAGTTTGCTAGACACACACTAGAGGAATGTTAGAGGAGGAGGCTGGGCCTTCCTGCCTGCCATAACTGTCGTTTGGCAAGCCTCTATCTCCAAAAGTATTTACATTATTATTTATAACAGTAGCAAAATTACAGTTATGGAGTATCAAGGAAATACTTTTATGGTTGGGGGGGGTCACCACAACACAAGGAACTGTAATAAAGGGTTGCAGCATTGGGAAGGTAGAAAACAAGTGTGTTAAAGGACTTTCCAAGAAGGCCAGACGAGAAGTCCTGGGTCTAGGTAGGCACATCATGACAACATCAGTGCCTCCTACATCCAATCTCTAGCCACTATTAAGCTATTTGGGCCCAGAAAGTCCCCTCAAGAGCTTCCCAGGCAGACTTGTCCCTGTCTGTCCCTGTCTCTGTGTTCCCTTCAGTTTGGGCATCTCCATGCTCTAAGTCTGTGGCCACATCAGCTGAGAAGAAGCAACGATGGTTCCTATCAGATGCGGTGGGCCAGGTCCTGTACCATATGATCTTTTGTATTTCCCTCACCTTGCATAGCCAGAGCAGATAGTGATGGTCACTAGACCCATGCTATAGCTGAAGGGGACGATGGACGAGAGAAGTACAGAGAGGCACCCGGGGTCACACAGCGGAGACATACCAGAGCCCAGATGTAACCTGGTTTTAGGAATATGTGCAGACATTGCTCGCTTGTAGAGGGGTCTGGAGGGGACCAGTTCTGCGTGGGTCGGGGTTCACAGAACCGGTGGTACACTGCATTAGGAAGATTCAGGGCATAAACTCAATCAACACGGAGCCCTGCTGGAGGCCGCCCTTGTCATCCCTCATTGCGGTAGGGTTTGCAGCCGTTCTTTCCCTCGTGTGAAATGAGAAATGCCGTTTGAATAAGCGATGGCGAGGGAGGCTGTGCACACTCCAATGAGGAAATAAAAAACCTTCCGAAAGATGCAATTTGGGGGATATTGGAAACCAGAGGACGGAACATCAGTCTATAAAACTCAACACGCCCAATAAAGCTGGAGCAACTGGTCAAGTGTTTTAGTGCGCTCGGTTGCCGGGGAGGCGGCGGGCATGAGCTGGGCAGCGCTTCCAGGCATTCGTCCTCAGCTCATTGTGGTCTCGTTTGCATAATGCACCTCATGATTTTGAAGCACCTTAACATTAGCGTCATGAGCACAGCCATGAAAGTGTCTGAGGTTATTCCTGTCACTGGCTTAAGTGTATCTCCCCAGAGCCCCCTCCACCACAGCCAACCCAGAACCGCCTATTTGTTACTTGGGTGTTGGTGGCTCGGGGCAGAGTGGGTGGAGGCTCACATAACTGTACTCCTCACCTAAGACTGTGACTATCCAACCTAGGCTTGTGTCCTACAGCACACACACATGCTGGAGGTAGTCACAGGGAGCCTGGGAGGCCCGGCTCATCACCACAAAGTAGTTCTGCAGCCCATGGTGGCCAACACTGCAGACATATGCCCCCTCCCACCTTCCTTACTCTATCCAAAGCAAACCTTTGCTCTCATAGGATTGGGAGCAGCTCTCCCACCTCCTGCGTCCCCTAGCTGAGGTAGGTCTGTCCATCTGCCAGGTTCTGCTTCTGTGGCATAGAAAACTTAGTGCACACATGGCCATTTTACTTCAGGCTTACAAGCATCTCTGCAGGCCATGGCACATACTATGTGTGCTGAGGCCACAGCAACATGGGAATACCATTCTAGCCTTCACACCCACATATATTTGCAAGCCTCTGAGCACCTCTGTGGTGCACTGTGCCGCACACAAAACAGAGCCCCTCCCTGGAAATCTTATTGTCTTGCCCGTTTCTTCCCACCTGAGCCTAGCACAGAGTGAGTTCTCTGGTCTCTGTCTCCATTCGTATGTTTGGATGTCTTGGTGGTTTCCTGATCTTGTTCAGAGCTTCTCTGAACAGGCAAGGCATGGGATGTTCTCCCACTGGCTGGGGAACCACTCTGTCGGTATCACCTGGTCATTTTATATGTACAGTGTCACTTCCTGACTCATGGAACTCGGTTTCATGTGGTCTTCGTTGTCACTTTGCAAGGGCATGCAGTGTGGAGACTTGGGTCATAGCCTGTTGTCTGGTGCCTAGAGGATACAGACTCAACTCTAGTTAAGAGTTCGGCTTGACCTCCCTAGATTCTGTTCTCCAAGGGTGGGGAAGGGGTGGAGATCTCTGGGACTGGGTCTCAGACTGAAGACACATTGCTAAAAAAAGGTCTCTGTTGCTACAGGGCTAATGTACCAATCCTTCTCCTTGCTTTTTCTACGCTTGTGACCTGTGCACCCAGCACCTTCGTCGCCTTTGTTGAAAGAGAGTCAGAAGATCCATCATATACTCTAAGGTGTGGGGCAAGGAGCCCTCTCCTACCTTTGAGGAAGCAGTCCTTGCTGTGTACGCTGACGATTCTCTTGCCCAGCAGGCAGGCTGCACGGCGAAGCTCACAGTGGTTCCCATAGAGCCTCCCGTCAGAGCCGCACACGGGCATGTAGCGGGGCCTGCACACCTCCACGCAGTGGCACGAGGGCTGCCCTGTGGTCCTATCGAGTGAGCACCTGCTCCCGGGGCTGCAGGGTTTCTTCCCACAGGAGGCCGACAGCCCAGGGCTAGGAAGGCCTGTGGATGCACACAAACACAGAGGGTTAGCTCAGCGCTGGAGAACAGAGTCCATGTTGCTCTTTCAGGTCACAAACACTAGAAACACAGAGACCTCAACTTCCCATGAGGCTGAGGTGACCCAAGGTGGGACAAAGGACCTTAGGTCTACATGGAGTCCCTGTTCCTCCAAGAAGTAGCTACAGGAGTCAAAAATGTGTATCTTGCTGTGTATGTTTTTATGTGGTTCACCCTGAACACCTCAGACAGGGCACCTGCTCCTTGGAACCCATGGGAGGGCCTTGGTGAATATTTGTGCTTTCATGGGCTTGCTCTTCCTTGCTGTCAACTGGATCAGTGAGGACACCCAGTCCTCCCGTGCTCACTAAGGGGCGCCTTAGACCAGAGGACAGACCTAATAACCACCGTTCCCCTGCCCCGAGACCACTCTATGTGGCAAAACTGCATCAAAATCATTATCAAACTGGGTCCTTCCCCCATTCATTCCTCTGTCTCTTTCTTCTTTTTTTCTCCTCTTATTCTTTTTTACTTTTCTTTTTCTTTCTTTTGAGACATAGCTTCATTTAACACAAACTGGCTACAAACTCCTGATGCTCCTGCCTTCAACTCCCAAGTGTTGGTACCACACGCATGGGCTACCGCACCTACCTTTCTCTTTCTTAAGTGATGACCTGCAGCCAGGCTGAGCACTAGGTTTCTGAGAGATCTCAAAGATGAATAAGCTGTAACTCTACTTCTCTCTGACCTAGTCATTCTTCTTGAAGGTAGAATGTGACAAAGCCATGATATCGTCAAGGCTGGTGCTGTAGTTTAAATGAGAATGGCCCCCATAGGCTCATGTATTTGAATGCTTGGTCCCTAGTTGGTGGAACTGTTTGGGAAGAATTAGGAAGTGTGGCTTTGTTGGGGGGTGTGCCACTGGGGGTGGGCTCATGCCGTTCTGGATTAGCTCTGCCTCTCTCTACCTTACTCTTGTGGATCAGATGTGAGTTCTCAGCTACTCTCAAAACCATACCTGCTTGCTTGCCACCATGCTGTCCACCATAATGGTCACAGACTCACTCTCTGAACTGTAAGCCCCCAATGAACTCTTCTCTGTGTTCCTTTGACCATGGTATCTTCTATCATAGCAGTTTAAAAGTAACTGAGTTGGGCAGTCCAGGAGCAAAGGTGTAGCGTAGGCATAGCTGTAGAGAGAGCTGAGCAGAGGAACTGAATGGGGAGTGCTACATTGACCCTGGGAAGCCATTGGAGAGTCTAGAGAGGAAGTGTGGCGAGGAGGCAAGCAGGAAAACCACACCATCAGTAGGGCCACCAGAACCCTCCTCCAACCCCTGACCAGTCCTCTCTAGCGTGATCTTGTATCTGTGGACAGAAGGCTGAGACCCTGGAGTTTGGGGCTGGCACACTGCTTGGGTAGCTTCTGTGTCTGACACCCACTCACAAGGATCTTGGGACAGTAGTGCTCAGAGCTCACATCTAGAGGTGGGTGGCTGGGGGTGGTGGTGGCTTATTTTATGATAAAGCGAGGCGTCCACAGAGAACACTTAACTGATAGTCCACCATATGAGGAGATGCCAGGGAATTAGAGGATGACTCCATGCCATTAATGACAGCATGTGGCATGCTAGGAATGAAAAAAAGAACCCAACATCCAAAGAAGTAAAACGTGGATACAGAGTTTATCTGCTTTATGGGTTGATGCAGTGATCTTCCAGGCTTGTTAAGGTAGTGCACATCGGTCATCAATGCATTTTGGAGGTAGAGGCAGGGTGATCAGAAGTTCAAGGCCAGCTTTGGCTACATAGTGAGTTGAGACAAGCCTGGACTACATAAGACCAGGTACCAAAACTCCAAACTAAAACACCACATAAGCAACCAGGTCCAAACAAATAAACCATCTCTCATGTACTAGACAAGACAGGATAGCCCTGGTCATTAACACTGAGCCTTCCACTCCTGGGACAAACACACATATAAGGGGAAAACCAAGAACTCCTTTTCCTGCTTTGGGTTAGGTCTGCTTTTCGTCATCATAGATTTGAAAAGGAAACAAATCAGTTATGGGAAGATTAACTACTTGATTCAATAACTCATTTAAATTCCCCTAACCTTGGCAAGTTCAGAAGTGTATCGACTTTTTTCTTGCATCATAATAAACTCGAAGGTCAACACATCTCTGCAGAGCGAGAGTGCAGATCCAGAGTGGGGCGTGAAAACCTTCCTTATCCACGGTCTGTTAAGGCTCCGTAGCACTATGAAGCCACCCCTCCCACCCCTCCTGGAGGTTCATCAGCGGCAATGGGAAGGGGAGAGTGCAGAGAACAGGCTCTTCCTAAAGGAGGCTCTAGGCTGGAAGCAACCCCCCCCCCCAATGGACATGGGGTTGCTTGGCCACTAAGTGTGTTTGATTAGCAGCCTTCTCCTGAGCTGTTGGGAAATGGGCCACCCTGGAAAATGCCAACAGCTACTAGAAGAAACTAACACAGTGCTGAAATGATCAGCTTTTGTTTCTTTCCCAAGACAGGGCAAGAAGTGAAGCCTTACCCTAGATGCTGTTTCAATAATCTTCCCTGTGCAAACAGAACAGACTAATGGCTCATTTTGAAAAGAAACCGCTTAAGTTTTTGGCTTCTTAGATCCAGTTGTGGGGTTTCTTCTCCAGCTGTGACGTCCCCCTTTGTTCTCCCCCACTGGCTATCAGCTCCAATTTACCATAAGGGGTATTTCTTCTTAAAGTCAGCCCGCATTCCTTCCCTTTACCCACTGTCCTGGAATGAGTGCCCTGACTCTAGCTTTAGGAGGCTCCGCAGGTTCCGGGCCACTGCCTCCTCAGGTTTTAAAAAACACTACAATTTTAAGGACAACTAGTATCAATGTTCCAATGCCAGGTCAGAGGTTGGCATGGGGCGGGAGATGGGGGTCACACGCTGTGATCGTTCATCTTTGCCTGCCTCTCTCCTAAGTGGGGCAGGAAGAGGAAGATAGAGGCATGGAGGATGCTAGACATTTCCCTGGAGGGGCTTCTGCAGTCAAGGGAACCAGAGACCTGGGGACAGGGAACTTCAGAGACCACCTTCGTTCAGCTGGGGGCACCCTTTGCACGTGGCACTCTTCTTGGGAAGGCTGGATTGTAGCAACCACCACTGGGGTCCATTGCTCCATCATTAGCTTGCAGGTGACTTTCTATAAACCGTGTTCTGAAGGGGTCACAGTTAAGAAAACATCTGTGCCAACCTGTGGCCATGGAAGACAATGAGAATGCTCACCTTCTCTCCCTGCTGTGGAAATCAGCTCTCGGCAAATATTTGATTCCTAATCATTTGCAATTAAGATAAAAGGAGCATGGAAGCCCCGTGTACGTCCCTCTCCAAGGCTGTGGCCCTCTCCAAGGCTGTGGCCAGCCGGCCCCATGGGGAGCTGAGCCTGCCCAGGGAAGGGACAGGCGTGGATGGAGACGCTGACCACGAGGTAGTTTCCTCATTAAACAAGCCCCTCATCGCCACTTCCTTTTAGTCATTAAAGCAGAATGAATTCCCCACTCCTACCGGGATGATGATAAAACAGTAATGGAAAAGGTAACGGAGTGAGACTCCCGGCAACTGCCTCCAGTGTTTATGAGGACAACCGTGATGCGTGAAAAAGATAGCGTGCACCTAATTTATAGTCATAAAGAAAGTCATTTACCCAGGTTAAAAACTGATCATCTTGCCAAATAAGCTGCTTTTCAACACTAATTAAATTTACGGAACATGGGGAGACATGGGAATTGATACATTACAGGGATGGTGGTAGAGCCACAAATCTATTGTACTTGTTGGTGCTGAAGACCCTCTGCTGTCGTTCATAGACAATACTTGACCAGAGTGTCACAGACCTGGTGGCCGGAAGCTCTGAGCTTGATTGTATAAGGTGGGGGACTCAGCACTAGCCTGAGCCCCAGGGGAGACTGTTCAAGGTGGGCAAGTTCCAGCATAGCCTCTGGATGCAGAAAAGTGGAGTCTGATACACCTGTGGCTTAGGATGTGGCTTCCTCATAGCCCAGCATGCTCAAGAATCCAGGTGGGGTACTTTCCTTCCAAACTCTAGCTCTTTGGTCCCCAGTGTACCCAGGAGTGTTCCCATCTCAGAAATGGTGTCCAGGGTGACACATGGGAAAGCTACAGTTGAATGTCCCTTTAGATTTTGTGCTGGCATTAATTATGATTGTGACAGAGTTAAGGAGACAGGGTTTTTCAGAGGTGGCTAGGGCACTGGCACTTCTTTCCTCACTGCTGAGGTGGAACAGCCAGTAAAAGCAACCCAGGAAGCAAGGGTTTCCTCTGGCTGCCAGTTTCTTGATGGCACAGTCCATCACGGCAGCAGGGCATGGGGCAGCTGTCATGTGGCATCCACACCCAGGACTCAGAGCGTGATGGATGCAGGAGCTCAGCTCATTTTCATTAGTCTGGGACCCCAGTCCACGGGATGCTGGTACCCACCATTCATGGTAGGCTTTCCCTCCTTAGCCAAACCTTTCTGGAGACATCTGTATTGATGCGCCCAGAGGTGTGTTTCTAAATCCAGTCGAGGTGACAGTGAGGATCTGCTAGGACAGCTATGATTGCATGAGTGCCATCATGGGAGTGAGGGAGCCAGGACACAGGTGGGCTCCTGATCAACTCATTTTGTCATAGCCTTAGCCCTCTCTTGCCTTCTTGTCAAACCACGAAGCAGTGCAGAGGCCATGTTCTTGAATTTTTCTAGCTTCCCAAAACAAGAACAAATAAACTCTGGTTTATAATTTGCCCAGTCTATGGTGTTCTGTTAAAGCTAGAGAAAATGGACAAAGATGAGAGGAGACCCATTCATTTTTCATTTGGGGATGAGGATTGCTGGCTGGCATGTTTTTCCTAGTGTTGTGTCTCCATGTCTAGAACTTTCCTTCTGCTTGGTACAGATAGCAGCCCTGTCTTCCCCTCAGCAGGTCTTGCAAATGTCTACTCGAGATCTCAAGTGGA